CTCGTAATATATACCAAAATATTTCATAAAATAAAAAAATGTCATTTTTAAAGTAAAAACTTACCATGAAGGAGTATATAGCGTCCACTTGTTTCTTATCACTCTAGGTATTAACATGTGTTTAAGAAGTATGCATCTCGATGCATAAAATAAAATAAGATAGGTTAAATTAGGAGGGAATTGTCGAAGGAATAGAAAATAAGTGGTCCCTTTTGAGTAAGTGCGTTTGTACAGTCCAGCTGGAAATGCCGTCAGCAGAAAAAAAGGACACACAGAGAGCTATTCATGATATACACAATCCCACGCTTTCCTCATTTCTCACAACTAAATTAAGTTCGTACAGGTAGCCTTTTGGCTGGATAATTGGATTACAATTGTAATTATCTTTGATTTATTATAATTAAAATTATAATAAAAAACTAATTATCATATTACTGGACACAAAAAACAGCTTCCTCCTGATATAAACTTTCGTGGGCCCATTGTTTTTTTTTTTAAAAAAAAAAGAGATGCACAATTGTTGATGAGTGTGCAAGAAACTCAACTTTTTTCCTCCAACATGACAAATATAACAGCCAAATATAATATACTTGTATTGGATTGTATTGATTATTGAATCACACTTTTTATTTTTAAAAAGAAAAATATAACTCTCCTATAATTTAACCTCTATAAAAAGGTTGAATATACTTTATATGAGATTAATATTTCTCATGAGTAATAAACATAATTAATTTTGTTATTTTTTGTAACTATGTTTAATATTTTTTATTTGTATTAGTAACAATGGTTACAAACAGTAACATAATTAATTTTATTTAGGAAAAGTTTATCAATGACCTTGTGATTTGCTTAAAATCATTTATGTTCCTTTAATTTTTTATCACATATATTCTTTTGCAAATCATAGAGACATATGTGATAAAAAATTCACAAAAATATAAGTGATTCTAAAATAAATCATAGAAACATTAGTAAACTTTTCTTTTTTATTTATTATTAGAAAATAAAATCATCCCGTGAAATATTAATCTCAAAATATATATAAATGATACGATACGTATTCATGCCCTAGATGCCAGACACACATGTTTCTGTTCTGAGCGAGTATTCTGTTCTGCGCACACGCGCGATTATGTTTGAAGGAGAAAAAGCAGATATTTTAAAACTTGTACAACCAGTGACAACTGGATAGCCACAACCAGCTTCCATATCCATCAAACACGGCATCATTTTACTGCTCCAAATTTCCCATTATCTTTTATAATTATCAAAATATATTTTTATAATAAAAAAATTATTTGTCATTTTAAATGATATAAAATTATGTCATTTTAAGAGAGATATATAAAAAATAATAAATTTTTTATTTAAAATTAAAAAAAATCACTCACTTTCTCCCCCGTACTTTTCAATCCTTGTGTCTATCTTTATCTTAAAATAACATAACTTATATCTTTTAAAAAGACAAATATCAAACCCATTTATAATTTAATAAAATTAACATAACTATGGTAGTTAAAAACTAATTTTGAAATTATGTTTTTATATTTTTATGATTTTTTTCCATTATGATTTTATTTTTTATTTCTTTTTATTTTTAGATAAAAATTCAATTTTAATTACCTTGAATATGATTATCAAACACGTGGTGAGTAATATCAAATTTGAGTCCCTCATATACAACGGTGCAAAAACTTATTCGAGAGAGCTTTGTTGTTTATGTGATCCTACTTAGCTTAAATTATACTAATAGAATAATTCGTAAACTGATGGGAAAAGCACCATTCTAAGATTTTTAGGTAAAACAATTGTCTAGTTAAACTTGATTGGATAAATTTTTTGAAACTAATACAGTCAAATACGTCACTGATATTGACAGAACTAGTATCGTCAATGATACTCACGGGACTCGTGCTATGTTAACATCACGTACACAGTTCCATTATTATAAAACTTCGAAAGGTCATAACTTTTGTCTTGGGTATCTAAATCAAATGTTTTTTTGATTTCACACAACTTTTTGAAATCTACGCAATGACATTTCATTTGACATATTTTATCGTCCACAAATATAGTTCGTATTTGTAACAATGGTACCAAAATCACTAGAGCATTTAAATCCAAAAGATGACACTTACGTTTTTACGTTTCTACTAAGGTGATACGTCTTAAAACGCAAGTAAAAACTCTTCTTAGTAAAAATTACGTGTAAAAATGTAAGAACTTATGTTCTACCATTTTTACGTTTTTACTTAAACCAAAAAATCAAACCAGGTCAACTTTTAACCATGATTGATTTTATTTTTATATTTTTAATAAAAAAAAACCTATTTCCATTTCTTCAAATCAAATGCACAGTATCTTCTTCTAATTATTAAAAAAAAAGTCCTCATGCGATGCCGCTGTATTTTTATTTAAGAGTTGTTAAACTTTATTCTTTTGATGTTGTGGAACTTAGTTATAGGAGTTGTTAAACTTTTTTTTTGTGTTTTTGGACTTATGTCTTATATAATTATGTGACTTATATATTTTAAATATGAAAATTATTCATTGAATTTTGAGTAGTGACTTATGTGATATTTTATATATATATATATATATATATATATATATATATATATATATATATATGAGTAGGATCCTTTGACACCAGTGTCAAATTTGAATTTTGACACCTCTTCTGAGAGCCATTAGATAAAAAAAATAAACGACTCTGATTTGTAAGCATGTGACACTATTGATTTTTTTTGATCTAATGGCTCCCAGATGAGGTGTCAAAATTCAAATTTGACACTGGTGCTAAAGGATCCTACCTCTCTCTCTCTCTCTCTCTCTCTCTATATATATATATATATATATATATATATATAATTTTGTATCTTGACCTTAAATAGTAAACATTTTACGTTTCGTGTCGTTTCTACGATTTACGTTTCTACCATTCCTTTATGTTTCTACGTAGAAACTCGATTTTAACAACATTGGTTCCATCAATACCAATGACGTGTTTGAATTTGAAAAAATTTATCCAATTAACTGTAACTACAGAATTATTTTGCTCAAATATTTTAGACAGGTGCTTTAGCCTAAACTGATAGATATTATCTTTAAAAAAATCTAACATAAACTTTTACTAAAATAATAATAAAAATTATGATAGGTAGTTCTAATCAATGTTATAAAAATCAGACCGACTCACTCGAGTCGACCCGGAAACCGGTGAGCCGGTCATGTAACCAGTTCGGTTTTCATATTGGACCGACTATGTTACAGAACCGGTGTGACCGGGTGCAATCCAGCCGGTTTTCGTAAAAATTGGTGACCCGGCCCGGTCTATAAAAAAAAATTAATTTACTTTCACAAATTAATGTCTTCTTTTTTTTTACTCTCAAACACAAATGATTTATTTTCTTTTGAAATATTTGTGTGATTTGTAGCTTATTAACTTATATAGATTATGTACCTACAACACTAATATTATCTTGATTATGCAATATGCAGGGAATTTTGATTTGATTTATAGTTAGAGATGTCGTTTACTGAACTTGAAACACTAGTATCACAAATATTATATGTTTGATTGATATTTTGTTGAACAATAATGTGTAATTTATTTTTTTCATATTAAAATATTTGAAATTGGTATATTATTTTACAAGTATTTAAGTATATTTATAGTTTTTTTAATATAAATTGTAGATTTACATATACTTACTGGGTCATGCAGTTGAACCAGTGATCCACTTGTTAAACCAGTGACCCAGTACCTCAATCGAATCAATAACCGAGCCCAATTTAATAATATTAGTTCTAATCGTAAACTTGCACAAGGTTAATTACATGATCAAATAATAATAGCAACATGGGTGGGGAGAGTCGTACTAATAATAGATCCGAGAGTGTTCAAATTAAACTAATTAAATAATAAATGAATTGATGAATATATCCAACAAACTAACTTTAGTTAAGCTGAAATAATCCACATAAGTTGATTCGTATTTTGTTATAACATATGAAAGAATTTCATTTTAATTTTATTTCAAAATAAAGTACTTTTTCAGACCTTAACAAATATCAAAGCACTTAATTTAATTCCTTAAAAAATCTGTGGTTTTTTTTGAAATTTAAAAAATAGATTCATATTAATTCTTTTGAAGTATTAATGTAGATTTTTTTAAAATTTTAAAGAAATCATAATTTTAACTATTAGAATTTATTTTAAATTTAAATAAGATCACAAGTCAATTTTTTTCTTTTAAGAAATTAAAATGCTCATTGTGATTTTTGTGAGATGATATTCTACTCATTATTTTAATATCTTAATTTGAATGGCACATGTCCCGATATAAGTTAAAAGCCTTATTTTTTTTTTAATAAATAATCTTTTTGGTTCTCGACAAATTTCACGATGCTCATTTTAGTCCCTAACAAATAAAAGGCCTGGTTTCTACGAAATTCAAAATGGACTCATTTAGTTGAAATCGTGGTCCTTCACAAACTTAAAAAAATATTAGTCCCTAAAAGGACTAAAATGGATCTATTTTGAATTTCTTAAGGACCGCGATTGATCTTTTTATTTGCTAGAGACTAAAATGAATATCGTAAAATTTGCTCAGTACCAAAAATGATATATATATATATATTTTTTAATTTCTCATTAATTTATCGCAAAGCGGTTCGTCCTAATCCTACTGCACTGACACTGTAGAGAGAGAGAGTGAACAGCTTTGGCCAGCTATAACTGGCACAGTAACGGCACCATTTGCTATACACCACATCATCTTTTTGTCCTTTTTTCTTGGTATTTGAAAAATCCAACCTGGCAGCTGATGTGGCACACTCCTCGATGATGTGTACGTTGGGATAAGAGGACATGAGCTTCTTTCACAAGCCACTTGGAATTGAAATTCAAATTCAAATTGAAATTAAATTTCTCTTTTTGGCTATAAAAGCTTCTTCAATGAGTCCTCCACATTGTATTTCAGCACTTCAGAAATCCCCTCTTTCTTTCTGTAGTAACTGTTCCAAATGTCTAGGCTCTTAGGATTGTTTGTGAGTCTTATGTTGGTGTTTGGGGTGGCTATGGCTACCTCTGCCAAGTTTGATGAACTCTTCCAACCAAGTTGGGCTTTGGACCATTTCATTCACGAAGGAGACCAACTCAAACTCAAACTTGATAATTATTCTGGTAAACCACTATTATCTGATTGTTACTACCCTCAAACCTTGTTAAGCTATCATCCACCCTTTAAACACTTCAAAAATGTGAACTTTGCTTTATATATGTTTTCACCTTTGAGAGCTTTTCAGTGATGCCCTTTGGGACATTTTCCACTTACCCATAATTTGATTCCCAATAATAATATTAATTGCTATCAATATTGGGTTGGACATTTCAGGTGCTGGTTTTGGATCCAAAAGCAAGTATATGTTTGGGAAAGTCACCATCCAGCTTAAGCTTGTTGAAGGTGACTCTGCTGGAACTGTTACTGCTTTCTATGTAAGTGCATAGAATATTTCTAATTAAATTTTAATTATTAAATATTTATTAATATTCTTTTTTGTTAAATAAGAAAAACTTTAAAAATATGTTGAATATATATTAACTTTTTTCATTCAATATGATTAAATATTAAGATAATATTTTAAATTAAGTAATAAAGCTCAATTAGATAATATGTACTCTCCCTCACTAGTTGTATATGGAGATGCTCTACCTCTGGGTCCCTATTCAATAGTTTGCAGTACACACAACTCAGTTCAATGAATCCAACATTTCCCGAACTACAAAATAATGTTACTTTTTTTTTTTTTTTATTAATGGGATTCATGAAAAGAATAGTACCATAGCTATTAGTGGCAGCTACCTACTACCATTTACCCCGTTTATCAATTAATATTTGCATTTATTACTTTTGTCCCTGCCTTTTCAATCCATGAACCAATACTTTAATTCAATTGAGGGTACTTCATTTTCACCATGATCAAGCAAATAGTGCTAGAGGGTATTCATATTATTGTGGTTGAAATGACTTTTCACTTTTTTTGACTCTGACATTGGTGTTAATTTATGTGATGTAGATGTCATCGGACGGTCCAAACCACAACGAGTTTGATTTTGAGTTTTTAGGGAACACCTCAGGGGAACCTTACTCGGTTCAAACAAACTTGTATGTGAATGGAGTTGGTAACAGGGAGCAGAGACTCGACCTCTGGTTCGACCCCACCAAGGATTTCCACTACTACTCTGTCTTCTGGAACCAACGTCAAGTTGTGTAAGCATCCTTTCTCATTGTTCTTTAATTGATGCATTGCTTAAAAGTGAAAAAAAGGCTCTTTGCATTTAATGTAGAGTTATTTAGAACTAGTGCGGTTTAATAACAAAAGTTAAATAGAAAAAATGGGAATATGCTTACATGGGTCTGAAAAAAGCTGTCAAGAAAACACGAATAATTTTTGCTTTTCCCAGTGGTGGTTGAGCTATCATAGGCTTGGTGTCATTGTGTCCCCGTTGGGCACACAAAAACAAACCCATGGAAAAGGGGATGGAATCTTGAACAATATATAGTAATACTCCTAACGAGGTCCTTTTGCAGAATACATAGACCTATGTCCTTTGTTTCTGGCAATTGTTTTTGGACACATTAGCAATTTTCCATGCGCAACTTTTTATTTATTTAATATGGTACGTGCAAGACTTTTTTTTTTTTTCAACCTTTTTCCTTAATGAGGTTTTACATATATTAATCATTTTATTTATTTGTTTATTTAATATTATGCAAGAGTTGACCTGTTTTTTATTTCAACCTTTTTCCTTAATGGGGTGTTACGTACATATATTAATCAACTATATAATAAAAAGAAATCGTGTATAATGTTGATCAAATTCTAACATTCGATGTTTTTGATATGATCAGATTTCTAGTTGATGAAACGCCAATAAGGGTGCACACAAATATGGAACACAAAGGAATTCCTTTTCCTAAAGACCAACCCATGGGGGTGTACAGTTCTATATGGAATGCTGATGATTGGGCCACGCAGGGTGGTCGTGTGAAGACAGATTGGAGCCATGCACCTTTCATTGTAACATACAAGGCTTTTGAAATCAATGCCTGTGAATGCCCTGTGTCAGTGGCTGCAGTGGATAATGCTAAGAGGTGTAGCAGCAGTGAGGATAGGAAGTATTGGTGGGATGAGCCTACGTTGTCCGAACTAAGCTTGCATCAAAGTCATCAACTTATGTGGGTTAGGGCTAAACATATGGTCTATGACTATTGTACTGACACTGCTCGGTTCCCAGTTACCCCTGCTGAGTGTGTTCATCACCGTCACCAGTGAGCAAGTGTTAATTAAAGCAAGTATAATATGAAAATGGGTGTATGAATATAAAAAGTTATGGAACATGTCCTTCATGTTTTATAATATTGTAATATACTGCCACGGCATAATGTGAATTATATTTAGTCTCTTGCTTCTTTGTACAATCAATTTATCTTTGATTTATCCATTTGAAAAAGGGTATTCTAATATATTATAGAATTGTAAATAATGTGTACAAAGGGTTCTTTATTTATAGAGAATATTTGACCTACTTTTAACCTAATGAGGTTGGCCCAATACAACAAAGGGCTTGGCCCAATACAACAATAAATGACTAAATAAAAACTAAATAATCAATATTATTTACAACACTCCCCTTCAAGTTGAGGAATAGATATTTATCATTCCCAGCTTGCTAGTAAGTTCTTGAAATCTGTCTGAAGGAAGCCCCTTTGTTAATAGATCAGCTAATTGACGCCTAGTGGGAATGTATGGAGTGGTAATCAACCCGCTATCAAGTTTCTCTTTGATGAAATGGCGGTCGACCTCAATATGTTTAGTCCGATCATGTTGAACTGGATTATGAGCTATACAAATAGCGGACTTATTATCACATAGCAGCTTCATAGGTCCCTCACATTTTATTTTGAGATCATCAAGTACAATTTTCAGCTACAGTAACTCACAAATGCCTTGAGCCATAGCTCGAAATTCAGCTTCTGCACTTGATCTGGCAACCACATCTTGTTTCTTACTTCTCCATGTCACCAAGTTACCGCAAAGAAACATGCAATAACCAGTGGTAGAACGACGGTCAGTCACGGATCCAGCATAATCAGCATCTGTGTAGACTTCTAAAGATAGATTGCCATCACGTCGGAATAACAATCATTTACCAGGAGTACCTTTAAGATACTGAAGAATTCTCTCTACTGCCTGCATGTGTTTTTCCTTTGGATCGTGCATAAACTGACTGACAACACTAACAGCATAAGCTAGGTCTGGTCTAGTATGGGCCAGATATATCAATTTCCCAACTAGCCGTTGATATTGTCCTTTATCAACTGGAGGACTCTCTTCTTCATAGCCCATCTTGTGATTCTTCTCAATATGAGTATTAGAGGGTTTCCACCCGAGCTTTCCTGCTTCTTTGAGAAGATCAAGAACATATTTCCTCTGGCTGATAAAAATTCCTTTGCTTGAATGAGCTACTTCTATCCCTAGGAAATATCTCAGTTTCCCAAGGTCTTTGATTTCAAACTCAGAGGCAAGCCGTGTTTGCAGAATCTGTCTCTCCACAAAATCATCACCTGTGATAATAATATCATCAACATATACAAGGAGCACAGTAAGCTTCCCAATTTGGGAGTGCTTGAAGAAAAGAGTGTGATCTCCTTGGCTCTGTCTGTATCCTAAGGTCATCATAACCTTAGTAAATCTTCCAAACCAAGCACGAGGTGACTGCTTCAATCCATACAAGGCCTTTTTTAATCTACAAACTTTATTTTCCCCTTCACAGAATCAAAACCAGACGGGATTTCCATGTAGACTTCTTCTTCTAACTCACCATTGAGGAAAGCATTTTTCACATCAAATTGATTTATATCCCAATTGTAATGGGTAGCAAGGGATAACAAGATTCTCACTGTATTCATCTTTGCAACTGGAGAAAAGGTTTCTTCATAATCAATGCCATAGGTTTGAGTATAACCTTTGGCCACTAATCGAGCCTTATATCTCTCAAGAGTGCCATCAGAATTATATTTCAGGGCATAAACTCATCTGCACCCTACTGCTTTCTTTCCGTTGGGTCTATCAATAACCTCCCATGTTTTATTTTTCTCCAAAGCATTCATCTCCTCTTGCATGGCTTGAGCCCAATTCCTATCTTTCAAGGCTTCATGTACTGATTTTGGGATTGTAATAGAATCTAGTGCTGAAACAAAGCTTTTGTGCTGCACAGAAAGATTAGCAGAGGAAACAAAATGGGAGATAGGGTATTGAGTACAAGAGGGACATGAGGAACAAGTTTTCTTGTGACAAGATCTTTTTCCTTTTCTAAGAGCAATAGGTAAGTCATCAGAAGTAGAAGCAATGGGTAAGTCATTAGAGATATCAGAAGAAATAGACAAATCATGAGAGGAAATAATATTAGAATCAGAAACAGGAGATTCAGGAGACTCAGAAGAAATAGGAGATTCAGGACTTACCAGTGGTTCAGACGATTGAGGTTGCTGGTGAGACAGTATGGGTTGTATCTCAGGTGTATTTGAAGGTTCTGACACACCAGGAGCAGACACACTAGGAAGAGAGAAGATTGATCCAGACTCAAAGAAGGAAGGGGACGAGTCTTCTGAAGAACTATTCTCCCCCTGACGATGAGGACCCAGGAAATAAGATTCAGATTCTTGAAAGGTGACATCCATAGAAACAAAAAATTTCCGACTTGGTGGATGATAACACTTGTACCCTTTTTTATAAGGGTTATAACCAAGGAAGACACACTTAAGAGCCCTAGGACCCAACTTACTCCGATGTTGTTTATGAACATGGACAAAGGCAACACATCCAAACACTCTTGGTGGAAGGCTCTGCAATATGGGAACAGAAGGAAAGAAGGAAGTCATGGAATGAATAGGACTAATATTGTTAAGGACCCGTGAAGGTAAACGGTTGATCAAAAAAGTTGCAGCTAATACTGCTTCTCCCCAATAAGAACTAGGAACAGATGTCTGAAAAAGTAGTGCTCTAGCAACTTCAAGAAGATGACAATTTTTCCTTTCAGCAACCCCATTTTGTTGAGGGGTATCAACACATGTGAGCTCATGAATCATACCTTTGTCTGAAATGAATTGTGACAGGCGTCGATTGACGTACTCAGTACCATTATCAGATCTGAGTCTTTTAATACCCTTACCAAACTGAGTCTCAACCATGTGATGAAACCGAATAAATATCTCTGGTACTTCAGACTTGTCTTTCATCAAGTATATCCATGTTATCCGAGTACAATCGTCAATAAAAGAAACAAACCACCTTGCACCTGAAACACTGTGCACTTTAGAAGGGCCCCAAACATCATAATGGATAAGAGAAAAAGGCTCCTTGCTTTTAATAGTGCTAGAAGGAAATGACACTCGATGGTGTTTTGCAAATTCACAAACATCACAATGAAAGGTCTCAACCGACTTATTGAGAAACAGAGAGGGGAACATAGACTTCAAAAGACTAAATGGTGGATGCCCCAGACGCTTGTGATGGAGCCAAATCATAGACTCTGCAGTAGAAGGATGACGTGTCATTAATAACTGATTTTTGCTAGCATGGTCTGGAAGGAGATGATACAACCCATCCTGTTCATTAGCAACTCCAATTGTCTTCTTCGTGGTAAGATCCTGAATAAGATAATGAGAAGGAAAAAATGTGATAGAACAATTCAAATCAGTTGTAAGTTTTTGAGTGGAGATAAGATTAGTAGAAAGCTGAGGAACATAAAGAACATTTTTAAGAAACAAGGAAGGTTGAATTTGAATGTTACCAGAACCAATAACTGATTTATGGGATCCATCAGCTACGGATATAGTATGACTACCAACAGTAGGATGATAAGAACAAAACAACTCAGTACGACAAGCCATATGATCAGTTGCACCAGAATCCAAAAACCATGAGGTTTTAAAATCAGTGCAAGAAGCAAGAAGAGATATAGAACGTGTGCTCTTACCAGATAAGATCGAAGAACTATCATGCTCGGCCATTCTTTAACAAAAAAAGTTAACAACCAGCGATAAAATCAACCAAACAAAATATCAAATGACCTCTGATCAGAAAAATAATTACAGATCCAGACAGAAGACAAGAAGACGAGAAGAATGGTGGTGGTCCGGTCCAAAAACACGGCCGTACGCGCCTCCACGTGGCGGAGAAAGGAGCTGCGCGTGGGATTCACTCGCCGGGAAAGGGGCGGCGCGTGAGAGCGCGTGGAAGGGCTTCGCCGGCTGAGATTTTTCTGGTGTGGTCGTCCAGTGAGGGCGCACCTGTCTGTGGGTGGTCGCTGTTGAAAAGTCGCCGGAAAGTGGGCCAAACAGTGAAGACAGATCTGATTGGAGGCGGTCGGAGGTGTTTCGATCGTTTGTGGCGGAGGAACAATGCGTAGAATGATAGATCGGAGGAAAAATAAGGTCAACAATGGTCCCCTTGGTCCAAAAGGTCCCCGGAAAAATTTTCCGGTGGCGGCTGATGGCGGCAAGAGGCAAAGAAATTAGGGTTTTGTTAAAAAAGAAGATAATATATGCGGAAGCAAAGCCCTCAGATCGAGAGCTCTGATACCAACTTGAAAAAGGGTATTCTAATATATTATAGAATTGTAAATAATGTGTACAAAGGGTTCTCTATTTATAGAGAATATTTGACCTACTTTTAACCTAATGGGGTTGGCCCAATACAACAAAGGGCTTGGCCCAATACAACAATAAATGACTAAATAAAAACTAAATAATCAATATTATTTACAACATATCCTCTTCCTAAGAACTGTTTAATAGAGAAATGTTTAGGTAGTGCCTAAAATAGATTAGGTCAATTAGAAAAAAATATTTGTCAATTGAAAGGACTGTCATTTTAAGTGAAATTATAGAATTTTGATAGTTTTTTATTTTCTTTCTTGTTCACAAAATTTTCAGTTTCTCTTATTGTTTGATTATATAAAGGAGAGAGTATATAAAAAATTATTAAATAGTCATCTAATAATACAATAGATTTATTTAAAATAATATAAATTCTTTAAAATAATAAAAAAAAATTATTTAATATATTTTAATTTATGTGGGGATGACCCCCCCACTCACCCCACATTGGCATCGACTTTTGGCAATGGGTAGTTGGGTACCACAAGCTCACGGGACGTTTGATTAGAGGAGTAGGGAATGGAGATAGGCTTGTACCATACTTACTATGGAGACATGCTAGCAAATAATTAAACAGATGAAACCAAAAATTGTGGGCCAAAAAAATTTAAGAATCGAGGACTTAGCTTTGTGGGGTAACGTTTTTCATATCGATGTACATAATTTTTCTTTGGCCTTAACGATCATTTAATGAATTCTCAGCAATTTGCAGTTGAAAATA